GGTTTTGAGTCAAGAGGTGTGGAAGTGCGATTTTCGTGGCAGGCGCAGGGAATCGTGAGGTTGCGATGTGTGACGGAGGTGACATTTCGTGGCAGGTGCCGGACTTTGTGCGCGTTAGACGTGTGGACGTGGAGAGGTTCGTGGCGGGCGCAGGGGATCGTGAGGTTGTGAGTTGTGGTGGGGGTGAGTGTCGCTGTGACATTGGGATTGGCGTGTGAGCGGGCTGCGCGGTCGGTGTGCTCCGATGGGTGTTTCCGCTTGGCTTTGGGGGGAAGTCTCGTACGAAACGCTCGTCTTGCAGACTTTGACATCTGAGAGTTTTTGAGGAAGTCTCGTACGAAACGCTTGTATTGGAGCCATGACGTGTGACTTTTGGAGGAAGTCTCGTACGAAACGGTCGTTTTGGAGACTTGACGTGTGACTTTTGGAGGAAGTCTCGCTCGTTTTGGAGACTTGCCGTGTGACTTTTGGAGGAGGTCTCGTATGAAACGCTCGTTTTGGAGACTTGACGTCGGAAAGTGACATACCTGGCAGGACTTTGTCTGTGTTACACTTTCTAGCAAAATGTCTCGCAAAGAGTGTCAAGAAAGAGTGTCTAGCAAAATGTCATTTCAAGAGTGTCCAGCAAGAGTGTCTAGCAGAGTGTCCTGCCCAGCAAGAGTGTCCAGAAAGAGTGTCTAGATGTGTCTAGCAGAGTGTCAAGCAAGAGCGTCTAGCAAAGAGTGCCCAGCAAGAGTGCCAAGCAAGAGTGTCTAGCAAAGAGTGTCCAGCAAAGAGTGTCAAGAAAGATTGTCTAGCACAGAGTGTCAAGAGAGAGTGTCAAGCAAGAGTGTCTAGCAGAGTGTCAAGCATGAGTGCCCAGCAAGAGTGTCAAGCAAGAGTGTCAAGAGAAAGTGTCAAGAAAGATTGTCTAGCAAAGAGTGTCAAGAAAGAGTGTCAAGCAGGAGTGTCGTGTCAAGAGTGTCCAGCAAGAGTGTGAAGCAAGAGTGTCCAGCAAGAGTGTCAAGCAAGAGTGTCAAGATAGAGTGTCTAGCAAAGAGTGTCAAGAAAGAGTGTCTAGCAAAGAGTGTCAAGCAAGAGTGTCAAGCAAGAGTGTCTAGGAAGAATGTCTAGCAAAGAGTGTCCAGCAAGAGTGCCCAGCAAACGTGTCAAGCAAGAGTGTCTAGCAAAAAGTGCCCAGCAAACGTGTCAAGCAAGAGTGTCTAGCAAAGAGGGTCAAGATAGAGTGTCTAGCAAAGAGTGTCAAGAAAGAGTGTCAAGCAAGAGTGTCCAGCAAGAATGTCTAGCAAAGAGTGTCCAGCAAGAGTGTCCCGCAAAGAGTGTCAGGCAAGAGTGTCAAGAAAGAGTGTCAAGAATGATTGTCTAGCAAAGAGTGTCAAGAGAGAGTGTCAAGCAAGACTGTCCAGCAAGAGTGTCTAGCAAGACTGTCAAGCAAGAGTGTCCTGTCAAGAGTGTCCAGCAAGAGTGTCTAGCAGAGAGTCAAGCAAAGAGTGTCAAGAAAGATTGTCTAGCAAAGAGTGTCAAGAAGGAGTGTCAAGCAAGAGTGTCGTGTCAAGAGTGTCCAGCAAGAGTGTCCAGCAAGAGAGACCAGCAAGAGTGTCCAGCAAGAGTGTCAAGCAAGAGTGTCAAGCAAGAGTGTCAAGAACAAGTGTCAAGAAAGATTGTCTAGCAAAGAGTGTCAAGAAAGAGTTTCAAGCAAGACTGTTTAGCAAGAGAAAGTCTCGTGGAAAATGCTCGTTTTTGGAAGCTTGGATTGTCGCTTCTGGTGAAAGTCTCGTGAAAAATGCTTGGTTTCAAGAGTGTCAAGCAAGAGTGCCCAGCAAGAGTGTCAAGCAAAAATGTCAAGCAAGAATGTCCTGTAAAAGTATCCAGCAAAGTGTCAAGCAAGAGTGCCCAGCAAGAGTGTCAAGAGAAAGTGTCAAGAAAGATTGTCTAGCAAAGAGAGTCAAGAAAGAGTGTCTAAACGGCTGGGGAGGTGATGGCGCTGCTTTAGTTGATGACTCTGCGAATCATCTCCGAAAACAAGAACGCTTTGAGTGCTACACTTCTATACAAAGTGACCGCATTCGGGTTCGTCGGTTCTATCAGTTTTTTTGAGGTGGGTACACCCGACTACTTTTTAACTATATATATATAATTCTGAGAGTCCGGACTGCCTAAAATACAACCTGGAAAATGGGGGTGGGTGGTATTCCTGGGGATTTACCGGGAGATTCATGGCAAGCGTCACACACAAGTCGTTTCACAGTCAAGCACTTGCAAAATAATTTGCCGTCAGGCCACGGTCCCATACATTCCCCCAAAATGAGGGTTGACTGGTCCTATTGAACAGGCTCAGAAGGGCCCCCCCACACCAAAACTAATTTCAATAGGACTGGGAAAATGGCATCGGGTGATACCATCCAAGGGCCTCAGAGAGGTACCCCACCCCCAAAATAGTATTCTCAACCCCGCAATGCCTAGAACTTCTAAACATGTTGACTGTGTTTGGCTGTTGCTTGTTGTGTCTTGTTCTTTCTTTTAGTGTAGTTGCCCAAGTACTGGCTGTCCCGCAATTTCTACAGCCTGTGTACCAGCCACGAGCCTCCACAGCCACCAAGTGGTGCTATTGAAGGGGCTCAGGAGGAGTCCCCCACCCCCAAAATAGTTTTATATAATGGGACTGGGAAAATGGCGTCCGGTGATGCTATGCAAGGGCCTCAGAGAGGCACATAAAAACCTGGCACAACAAAAAAATGGGCTTCACCAGAGCAAATAAAACTGGCACATCTCTCACAAGCAAAAAAAACATGTTTCCAAATCTGAGACTCTAGATGATTGTGGGATAATGTCCTAATGTCCTAATTATGTTGGATCCTTTAACTCTCAACAAGAAAGTTATTATGACCCCCCCCCCACCACTCCCTGTTTGAAATGATATCGACAAGTACAGTACTGCCACCTATGAAATATTTTCTTATGGCATCGTACGTTATATACGGCAAAAACAAGCGTAAACACGATATGAGTTGTGGTATGTCGTAGTGGTGGTAGTGTGGGGCCAAGGCCACTGTCAGCCAACAGGTACGCAAAAGAACCAGTACAGTAGTTGGGAACCGCAGCTCCGAAGTGGAACTGCACGTTATGAAGATGAACTAAACAAGGAATCGCGGTTTAAACAGCTTGTCAGCATAATTGCAAAGGGCTGCTATCAATCTTCAATGTTAGCAGTCTTACCAAGACATGCGCCATTCTGATGCGCCAGTTTAACATGTCCATTGTAGAGAGACTTCCGCTATCCGGACCAACATTTGGTCACATACTCTACTTGGTCCAAGAGTAATTGACCACTAGCCACTATGTGACTTATATACCATTACTTGGTCCAAGTAATAGGTCTCTTACTTGAATTACGTACTATTCTTTCATTAAACTTGGTCACTCACGGTGTGTGCGGCAGCCACGGTATGCGCCGCTGAGCCACCACAACGGCCACACAAATCTGAAGGCGACCGTCACCTGGGACTGAGCACGGGGAACTGGGTGCTAACACACTCTGACTCGCCTCCCTGGCGGATTTCGTGGAAAAAAAGGCACCTGATTTGACACATTGATACGATTTGATAAGTATTGTGTCATGTTGTGTCTCCGATCTCCTCTTGCACTTGCACTTTCCGGCTTACTTTAGCCCGCTGCTTGTGAAACCAACTGCTTCAAGCTTGACAACACATGAGAACACAGCAAATGCAACCGCCGCACCTCTGCTGCTGCTGGCGCTAGATCTGCCGGGTCGGCCCCTGTGGCACGCGCCAGTAGCTGAGCTGAACGTGAGGAAGCGGCACGAGCTGAAAGGGCTTGGATGCGCAAAGTGGCTTTGGGAAAGTGATGCTCGAAGCGCGTCAAAACCTGGGCGAATCAATCGTTCGAAACATGTCCAGGTCAACCATTCTGAAGAATTGCATGTGGCAAGAAATTGAGACCAAGTTTGGCTGGTGCAGTTTGAGGAGACCTTATGAGACCTTCACAATTGTTGCGCGCAGCCATCTTCTCATTGCAGCTTCTTGCTGCTGCAATTCGTTTCCGAGCAACACGCCCACCGGCACCTCCATAAAGGAATGGCAGGTAGCGGGGTCGCGCTGCAGCAGCCGCCAGCACAAGACCAGACCAGGCTACACACTTTGTGGCAAACAAGGTGCCCAGGAAGAGTACACCTCCGGTCGATCTGCCAAGACAGATGTAAACCCCAAAACCTGCTTGCACCCTTCATACACGAAAAACAGCCCCCTCTGCTCATTGTATGAGGCCAATTCGTGAAGCATTGGCTCCGTTGTCGGCATTGGCTCCGCTCTCGAAAGGAAATCTCAAGCAGATTCTTTTAAAAGCAAAGCGCCCAGCTCACATCCCGGTCGAACATCTCACAATGTTAATGGCCTTGGGGAATCTAGTCATCATGTAGTCACAATGTAGTCATCTCCCTGAAAGCATGGAAAATAGAGAGTTACAGTAGCACCCAATTGCCAGTCACACTAGAGCAGCTACTTTAGGACCCAGTGTGGCCATCCCTAGCGTTGTAGGCGTGATCTGTTCACTCATCGTTTGTAGTTTTTGTACCGTTTCCACATTACCATTCTCAGTGGTACCATTCAAGCTTCCACCGTCAGAACTAAGTAACGGATGCCCGGATCAGCTTGTAGCAGGAACTTGAGCACATTGTCGCTGGAGTTGCCAGAATCCATCAAACTGTGTCAGGACTGGAGTCATGCAGTCAGCGAGCCAATGTGAAAAGGACTTGTGTTGAATTGTGTTGGTGTGTGCCGCTACCTCAGCAAATCATCATGTCATGACAACTAGGATTAGGAATTACTAGGAATCCCAAAAGTGAAGATGATTCAAGGCTGGTTCTGCCTGGCAGTTGCTGCTTGAGATGTCTATGATGCTATGATGGTTCTTGAGCACCATTCACAAGTGTGTCTGATCTCCTCCAAACTGCTGCTAGCACGGGCCGAAGCCAGGAAGCCGACCCATTTGCCCGCAAGCTCGAAGGCCTTGTCACCTGATAAGCAAAGGCAAAAAGAAACAACACATTCCCAAGAGATGTATCCAAACATGAACAACTGAAATAAGTTGAACTGTAAGATACTGCACTACTGTAACTTTAGACTCCATCATTCTGGCAGGTTCCCGATGCAAAGGGACCTGACAAATCAGCAGCAGCCGGAAAGCGATAAAAGCATCCCGCACTAAGTTCTGGCAGCCCACCGCCCAGCACCGCCCTGCACCGCCCAGGTGGCCTGCTTCAACAATGTGGCCCCAACGATGTTTCTTTTGAAGGATTGGCATTGCCTCATCTTGATCCAAGTAGGCTCAAATAAGTTGGTGAATCGGCGATGATCTGGCCGATGGGACCCCGGCCACCTGTATGGCACACAACTGATCGCTCACAGGTAGGCCTAAGCTTTGCGGAGCTGCAAGGGGTCGGCGTGAATTGGTATCTGAGCCTAAGCAATTTGTTCAGTCTCTTGACCAAGCTTGTTTGGCAGCCCTGCCCGTCGAAGCAACCACTCTCATTAAAGGCTCCAATGCCATCTCATTATCCCCCAGCATGTGCCAGCCTGGGCATTTTCAACATGCAAGGACATGACTTGCGTGAAAACAATACCAATCAATCACGTCGGCTTCAGTGGGAGGCAGCACAAAAGTTGGGATGTTCAAGCGGGCAGCTGGGACATGGTCGGACGGTTCCTAGCCTACCCCTATGCTGGTGAGCTTGGCTAGTGTCTCTTGACTACACTGGAAGAGCAATGATAGGTGCCGCCGTTCTGCCAACCTTGGGCGTTGGCAATCCGTTTTTCCTTTTCTCTATTTTGTGTGTGTTTCTCTGAACGTCTCCGATGGAAGGCTGACCCCTCTTCGAGTGGCTGAAAAAGGTCGAGTGCCCTCAACTTCTTTAGCTTCTCAAGTTCTCGGTTGACTGTGTTACGTGTTGCTTTTGAGAAGGCGTGAACAAACATTGAACACAGCCCTTGTCAGCTGCTCTGAAGGTTGAATGTTTGAATACGACATTGATTGAAACCGAAATGCTTTTGCTTCTGCTTCTTTACCGTCAGTGGCTGTAATTCGCGGTCAAATGGCATGGTTTCACGGCCAATGGGTTTTCAAAGACATCTTCAACGTGCTATATAAAGGGATCACCCTTTGCGCTGGCAAGTTCTGGGTGCACATATTAACACATATTTAGCTGTGGCTTGAAGATACTATAAGTACCTCACGTTTTCTGTTCCAATGCGAATGGGCCATACATGTGCACAAACCCAATCAAAACCAATGAGTGATCCACTGTATCTTTCATTCGGAACTGGTTGGAACTTTTTTCCAGTAATTGCTTGATCAAGGCTTTAAAGAACTGAAATCGCTGCAAGGCCTTCGACGGTGCATAACAGCATTGACAGTAAAATCCAGCATCGTCTCTCAAATGCACCTTCGTACCCTTCAACGCGGCATAACTTAAACATAATGAAACCTCTGGGATATAGTTTACTGTGTAGGTTATCGACATCTCAACATCTCCGACATCTCAACATCTCCACATCTCCATGGTATCATTTCCCCATGTATGGAAGGATGTTTGGTCATTTCGCAGTTTTCGCTAGTCTTGATCTACTTGCGATAGACCTTCCGCAGCAAGGACATTCAAGAGTATTGATCCAACGTTCAACAATGTTTGTTTGGGCGTAAGTCAAGTGCCATCAAATTGCATCTTGACTCAGTTCTCTTGGAGCATTAGCTCTGGAACCAAGGGCCGTGCCACAGCCAACAATCATATCCGCTTTGGCACCTGGCTCTCAAGTCCCTAGCTTATTGCTTTCGCACATTCCACTGCATCCCCCACAATAACAATCTGTCAACAAGAATTAGTCAAGACTTCCAGCAAGCTGAGGTTCCCAAGTCTATACTAAGCATAAGCAATTCTACACAACTTGTCGCGAGTGGTGTTGCGATGTGTTGCGAACATTTGCGAACCCCCGCAAAAAAGGCGGCGCTCGACGGTCATGGAGCTCCAGCGTGTCATACATGCCATCCACCTGAAATTCAAGGAGCACTTGGGCTCCTTTAGCCAATACTGAGGCAACCCCCGCGATAGAAGTCCAAACAGGGGCCCAAGTCCACCAGCGTCGTTGTCTCTTCATGATTCTTCTTTAATATCTTTAAATGATTAATGTTTACCCAATAATCATCTCTTTTGCAGCATCTTAGACTCTTGGATTGTGTATATAGGACATTTGGATGAGATGAGCCAACATTTTAACATTTAGACTATTTTTGACTCACGATCTCCTCATGCGGGGAAGGGGGGAACCAAATTGATATATGACACACACATATATATATATATACACGTCATAAACATCCCACTCAGTGCTACTCACTGCCGCTCTTATTTTTTTTCCGCTCTCATTCACTGCTTCCAGAGTATGTGACAACCCCGCCCTGCGGATATTGCGTTGGTACGTTCCTGAGAACATGGGAGTTGTGATGATGTTTGTGCACCACAGCCTGCCCAAGCTTAACACAACTATATATATATATAAGATTAAAATGTTAAACATGGTAAACCTGAAGCGAACAATCACCACAGTCACAGAACATGACTAATTGCTTAAATTTTGTGGATTACAGTGCATCTTGCCTCTTTCAGCAAATTGGGCAACTGCGATAAATCTGGAAGGGGCCTCGGGCAAGCTTTGGGTGACAACTAACACCAGCGCTGCTTTCAAAAATCAATATAATGTTGATCCTCTGAGTAGCAGGCCCCTTATTCCAACGTGCCTTGCAATGTTCATTTGCTATCTCATCCTGGCTAAACCAGTTCTGCACACCAAAAAGTCCATTCACAAAATTGACAAACGGTCCCGGTCGGACAAGTTGAGCAATCAAGAACCGACATTAATTATGCACTGTACCTTGTGTCAGGTTGGCTTTAGATTCATTAGTTAAATGTTTGACCACTAACAACTCGCCCCTTTGCTACACAACATGCGAGGACCACCAAGCGTGTTCTGATCTCCATCAGCCTCAGAAGACCGATCTTTCTGATCTGTCGGAAGCTCCTCCTTTCACCACCTTTCACCCTGCTCTGGCATCTCGTCTCTCATCTTTTCTCTTTCTCCCACTCCGGAGGGCTCAAACGGCGCCCGAGACTGCCGAAAAAAAACGACTGGCATGCTAAAACCATCCTGGAAGTCCCAATTGCAAGAAGCTACGTGGCCTTGAGCATCCTGGCGAAGAAACTGTCATGGCTCGCTGCCAGAGTCTTGCTATGTCTTGCTCATGGTCAGTTGAATGTCTCTTTGACTGGATAATTATCTACTGTATCTGAGTAGGAAGCAGCTTTTTCTTGCTCGCGTGCCGGAATTTATCAAAAGAAGTTGATCTGGCTCAGGAGCATCGGCTCATACTTCCTGAATGTTGGGCTCTCCCCTGTTGCTTGAATTCCCGTCAGTGTGCTCTGGCTATCTCTGGCTTCAGCAACTCTATAAGGTTGTTTTGCTTGGTCATGGCCACTTAAGCCACACAAAGCATCATCATCCTGTTTCCAAAAGCTCCAATATCCCAGCGAGCTCTGCAGCTAGAAGTCTCGATGCTAAGCCATTATGCTAAGGCAAGGTCCTTGAAGTCTCTCAACCTCTGCTCTTCACATGGCGTTTTGGAACACCAGGGGCGCTGGCCAAATATTGATTCATGCAACTCTCACACGCCCCATGGCCGGCCCCAACTCTTATCTCTTCGGCCAAGGGGTGATGGAGGAATCAAACGCAGCGATGGAGTCCAAGCTAGCTCTTTTCAGAAGTGATTCCAGATGTCCTCCATCAACTGTATGAGATGTTCGAGCTAAAATGCGAGAAGGATTCCATGCATGTGACAGCAGGCCTCTGCATTCTGCAGAGTCCCCACGGAGCAAGTAGGAACTTAATATCATTAGGACGTTTGAGGAATTATGTCCTGCAAGCAAGGGCTTTCCATGCTGCATCATGCTCCACCTTGAAGAAGCTCTCAATTGAGAACAAAACGAGGATCCAACCCCTGTTTCTACTGCTTGACTGTCTCGATCTTTGATCCAGCATGTTGAATAGCATGATGTTCCTGCGTGCTTTGAGGCCCTTGTGGGCTCAGGACTTCAGTCTCACTGAGGGAAAAATCAAATAAACACCATGAATTTGGCAGACAGGGTCGGATTCAATCCAGCTGCCCATCTTCGAAGTCAAGAAGTCCTTCAGGCTGAAGGCCAAAAAACATACACACTCCATCATGTCACAATGAGATTTGTACAGTAACTACGGCACATTGCATGCGCATTGTTAGATAGCAAGCTTCTGTTGGATAGCCCGCCGATAAGGCAAGAGATGCGGGTGCCAATCGGAGCGCACGATCGGATATTGAAAGACCTTTGTAGGATTGTAGGCTCACATCCCTGGTAGTGTTTGTTTCTTCGTGCTGCGCACTTTTCTTTAGAAAACACCCAACTACGGCATCGTTGACGCATATGGTCACTCATGATTCACGATCATTGATCTTTGGGTGGATGTTCTTTCTTGTTGAGTTCATGCATGCTTGGATACCATTGGCAACGGACCAGACCATCCAACCTATGTTGAAGGGCCCCAATGCCCTTTGAACATTGCCATCGCCCACGTTCCTCGGCAGTTGGGAAGGCTTCCCGCAACCCAGAAGGCCTCTGGACGACTTCTTCACGTGGCAGTGCGGACCGTTGACCTGACGTCTCGCGGCAGGTCCAGACCTGCTGGTCTTTGAAGGCACGCGGAGGCGTGATTGGGCATCGCTACTAGTAACAAAGGGCATCGCTACCTTCGTAGCTTCTTGCTACTAGTAGTAATGCCCTTGTTACCTGTAGCGATGCCCTTTGTTACTAAAAAGAAGTTCGTGATGAATCGGGTGTGTGGGTTCGCAATCTGCAAATGCGGGTGTGCGGGTTGACCAAGTTCATCGCTGTCGACCTAAGTTGAAGTTTTGATCCTTGTTGCTGCTTACGGCCTCAACGCTGATAGCACTGTCAACCCACCGCCCAATCTTCGGTCCAAGTGGCGGTGAGCTCCCTGCCTGCAGTCAAAAGACCCGATCCAGAGACAACGATCTCAATCAATTTGAACAACCTGGATCACATCATCAAAAGGTGCCTATTATAAAAGGCACCTATGTGTCCTATCTTCCGGAAACAAGAACATCGCATTGATGGGCCCAAAGCCTTGGGTTTAGACTGCTGTGCAAGCGAGGTGGCAGGGTGTATTGGACTGGTACCGTCACTGTAGCAAAAATCAGGTGTGATTTGCCATTGAGGGTGATGTTCTAAACGGAACTGGTCAGCTCTGTGAATGTCTGATGTATGCAATTGAACTCTTGTTTGATATTCTTGGTGTGTGCTACCACTGACCAATCATCAGCTTCAAAGCTGTCAAAAATGTTCGCCGCAGGCTGCAGGCTGCCAGGTTAAGTTTCCCTAAAAAACTAGAAACCAAATCCTCAGTGCGAGCGCTTCTTCTAGGAGCTTCCTTGAAGAAGCGTGAGCTATCCTGCGTCCAAGGTGGCGTCCTGTACCTAGAAGCTTACTTGTAGGAACTAGCTACCTATAGCTACCTACCTCACCTCTACTAGCGGCCTCCCGCCCCCCCGGTGTAAAAATGAAACAAGAGGCCTGGACAGCAAGGGCCTGAGCTGACATGTCTTGCGATGCGGTAAGATCTGCACACAGCTCCTATATAATCTACTGTATATCTGCGCAAAAACATGAGAACCATGGGGAATCGAATCAAACCAGTGCAGCTGAGGCCACCCACTTCAGATAAACCCGGGACCAGGCATTGCAGAGCTCCAGACCTCTCATGATGTTTTATGGTCCTCAAGACTTCAGACTATGTGCATGTTCATCTGAAAACGTCTGATACGACGTGCTTTTGCACCGATGCTTCCAAGGTACGCCACTGCTTTGAGTCTTCGATCATCCGGGTGGCGCCTCTCAAGCGAACATTGATTGTGGAACGTCACGAAAACTCTTTGCGCGCATGCAAGGAAGGGTGAAAAGGGACGGCTATTGGCATGGCGTGGCTGAGCAAAAATGTGTGTACTCGACCTGCTCTTCCTGCACATGTTCGTTGTAAATCCTTGGAGCTAGCTAGCCAGCGCCAAAAGAAGCAAGGCGGGATAGTGTCAAAATGGAGAAAGCACATGTCAAATGTTTGCTTTCTACCAGTACCCTTCGGCACACTCCTCATCTACAGTCCAAGCCAAGTCATATGAAACCAATGCCTCAATGCAAGCATGGCCATCTCTGCCAAACCTCGGGCTTTGGAATCATGCTCTCAAGAACAAGGCCATGCTGACGATTGAGATCTGACTGTTGATGCTTCAGAAAGGCTGGCTAGAATCTAGCACCGCCGCAGTCGGATCCAAGCTGCTAAGTTCTGCAGCAGCCTCCGTGTTGGCGCTGTGATTCCTCATTGGACAGTTTGCATGTCCCATTTCCCGGCAGTTGCCCCTGGTATTGCAGTCTGGGAGGGAAGGGGTTTTAGAAGAAAAGGGATAGTAAGGGCAAATGCTTTAAATTGTATCACAGGTCACGGACCGGGCCTGAGCAAGCACCACAAAGCCTTAGTGGTGCTAGGTATGATTACAATGTGAAGGGAAACGCCTGCCTCTCCAAGACCTACCTCTTGCATGTTTGCAGTCGGAATCCTAGATTCCATAGAGCCTGCACACTAGTGACACGATGTTACACCTGCACACACTCAAATTGAGATCCACAAGCCGGAGACCTTGATCGTGCGTTCTGATTGTAGTGATTGAGTGACTGAGACTTTGGCTGCAAGGGCTGCGGTCAAAACCTGGACGAAGCAAGCTGATGACAAAGCGAAAGAATTCCTTTTATGTAAGCCATTTCTGTATGTTGCCATACACGGGAATACCAACCACAGAAGCTCGGCCCAAAAGGTTAGTTATTCACATCGGAGAGCATTCTTGGGACTGCGATCAACTTGGCCAAGGAGCCGCGGGTCGGTTCTGGTGCTGCTGCAAGGCAGCTTTGACCTTTGAGACAGGTTGGTGAGTTTGAACCCCGGGTGGGCCTTTCAAAGGGCCCTTGGCCGCCTTGCCGGTGTAAGTCCGACGCATGGTGCGTGTGTGCAATAAATAGCAACTCAAGACTTACAAACATGAACAAATCACCATGAAGAACCACCAACACAACATATTTGGGTCTGCATCACTGAGGGCGTCACTCGCTGCAAGCCGCTTGCCTGCGCAATCGCTGCCTCGCGCAGTCAGACACTCTAAGAACGAACCCGAAGGGAGTTAACGGAGCTATCGACCTTATGTTGCCTGCTGAATTGAGGGTTTAGTGACTTCTCACGTTTGCTCATTTCTGATTAGACGGGTTCTCTTGGTGATGTTTCGGGCAAGCTTGAGCACAGCTCTCGACCTGGTTGTTGGGGTGGTTGGCGGCGAGATTCCCCAAGGCGCCAAAGCCCATGGTTTGGAGCCGTGCCTTGGCGTCGAACCCCGACAGGCCCGACTCGAGAAGAAAACACATCTGCATGTTCAATAAAACGGCGGCGCGAAGGTTTGGATCACCGAACGTCGTAGCCTTCTGATGTGAACCCATACACTTCGACGTGGTTCTTAATATTGTTCTTATGCTACTAGGGGCAAGGACGCTACTAGGGGCTCCTGGCCTTACTACTAGGAACAAGAAGCTACTAGGGGCTCCTGGCATCACTACTAGGAGCAAGGACGCTACTACAACCGTGACAGGTGCCAACAGCCTGAACGTCGTAGATTGGAGGAGCGACACAATATGCTCATCTATGGGGCTCAGAGCCAAGCATGCTTGGAAAATCTCCTCATAGCATCGACAATAACCTGAAATAACTCGAGCAACTCGTGTTGACTTGTTCCTTCACTGAGCTACCAAGGAAAGCGACTCTACACCGCAAACGGATGTCCAATGTCCAGGCAATTCCACGTCACTGCAAGGTGGTGGAGGCACACTATTTCTCTGAAGTTCAACAGCCTCTGCTACTTGTACCTTGGAAACTCCCCTCTCAGGAAAACTCCAACAAATTAGTTTGGGCACCCCACCTCAATGCTTCGACAGGCCATGATTGAGGACCTCCAGAAAGCACCATGCCGACACTCACACAAACACACTCACTGACTGACTGACTCACTCACTCAATCACTCAACTCAACTCAACTCAACTCAACTCACTCACTCATTTCAACTCAACTCAACTCGCTCTCTCTGACGATAGCAATGACATGCAATGACCACGGCATGCGGTGACGAGTTGCCTTACTGAGTGCGCGACTGGTTGAGTGGATGGTTGGCCGAAAGCCCTGCCAAGGCACCACACCCGGAGGCCAAGAGCCTCAAACATCTTGGATGGGTATCGCGAAAAAAACAACGAACATCAGCACATCTTAGCACTTGGAACTCACTCGTGGAACATCCCGATGGATGGTTTGATTGGGTGCCAATTCCCACAAAATAAACATGTCACGGATTCTCTGAAGCAAACATCGGACTCCATCTCTGAGCCATGGAGAGGCGAACCAGGCGTTCCCAGTAAATCGGCGAGCCAGTCTCTCGCAGTCTCGGGGCCCAAACTCGGAATCACCTTCAAACTTCCGCATGGCCTGAGCAATCGTGCCAGTTTCTCCGCATGCCCAAATCAGTAGTGCCTTTCTCACAGATTTGGTAGTAATTTGCTCAGAATCCCTACATCCTTATCTTTAAGTATAACATAGTAAGACACCATGCTCCAAGCTCCGCTTCATCGTGATCGAACCTCCGATGACAGATGGGCCAAACCACATCTGAGGTGATGACACCCACGACTTCCTCCACTGCTCCATTGGTGGCTGCGGCCTTAAACGCTTCGAGGCGACAAATGGGCTGACCCAACGTGCTGAAAGCGGCAAACATAAAGAGATCAAACTTGATGAACTTTTGGTAGATATCACCGATATGGACCAGGCATACATATATAATACATACATGCATATATATATATATATACACACTGCATATGTAACCATTTACATGTTCTTCTCCTTCACCTGGAATCGTCTGCATTCTCTTCTTAATTAGATCTTTTTGGTAGAGCGTGCTCTGGGTCGCTCTCGTGCTGGTGGTGCCAACTTCGAGCGTCGTCTCATGGCACCCAAACTGCTTGCAGTTCTGGCCAACCTGCTGCACTGCCCATTGCAGCAGCTCCTGCCTAGGAGAGGCAAATGGTGCGGATACCAACCAAGAGGGCATCAACACGAAACTATGTCTACATAAAATCGAATGTTTTATGATCCTGGAAGGAATAAAACATGAAAAAAGGCCGCGTCTTGCCTTTTCACGACCTGACGACCTCAGAATCACAAAATAATTCATGACCAATACACTTGAAATAAGAAATCCAAGCAAGCATCGACATGGGCCCGCAGGCCTCTTGCACTGCAGCATTGCTGCTGTGCCGACGCATGGCCGCGGTAATGGCCTAGAAGCACAGAGCCGTGATCAGAAGAATCTAGGGGGTCTTGTGAGCTCTGTAGCACTCTGTAGGGAGAAAAAACAAGTAATATACAGTGTATATATATATATATACACATACAAGACATACAACACATGATCAATTCCATATCAGTCCAGTTAATGCACTACATTACATCACATTAGATGACATACATATTACTATGACATTCCATTAAGTTACATTACATACAATGCATTCCATATGTGCAACATATATTACATATATTACAATCATTATGACATATTATGACTATCATTATGTAAATTGTCCATACGGAAGATGGAGGGTGCCGTCTATCACTTTTGGTCAAACCTTGTCGGCCTCCATCGTGGCACAGCACTGTTGGGTGGAGAGGCGCTGTTGACAATGACCCAGCCAATTGCTAAGCCTGGGGCAACCCGTTTGCATGCAAACCACTGACTTATGGGGCTGGATGCTTTTCGGGATGGTTCTGGACCCTGATGAAAAGTGAAGTAGCAAAACAAGCTCCTTGACCTTAAATATTCCAGTTGCAACATGCCAGAAACACGGCAACAAGCCAACTAACAATTGTCACACTTTATCCAAACATGCACGCAATTTTCCTGCCAAGCGTGATCTGACTGCATTACACTGGCTGGTGCGCAGAGATGCACATTCTGCGTTTATTGTGCGTGGAAGGGTCAGCTGCGGACATGATCCTTTGACCATCTGCTTTCCGCGCTCTGAAGGGCTCTTCAACCCGATCGTTTCACCTCCTCACCCACATCTTCACCTGTCTCATCCGGCCCCTTTGGGCCGAAGATCAAGATCCGATCATGGTTGCCAAGACGATGTAACCCAAAGAGCTCAGGCTGATGGCGAGAAATGAGTTGAAAAATAGAAGGTTGTTCTCACCTTAGCTGGTGAGCGGCTGAGAAGTACTTTCGAAATCAGTGATAGTCTCTCTGTTCAGTGTGTTGCATCACAAAGAATCACAACGGTCTGTGCCGCGGAACCGATGCATTTGTTCATCCACGGGCAATGATGGTCCCACCCTTGGATGCCTGAGTCTTGCATCTCGAGGACAGATTTGCGGAGATTCTGTGGGATTGTCTGGCTTTGATCTTGAACCAAAACATAACATGTTGGGCCCTTTGGAACACCCATTGAAGCAAACGTAAGTGTGGCAGCCCAGCTGCAAACGTGGCAGTAGTCGCAGTGCAGAACACCCACGGGCTGTTTGATATCGCAGGCCTTGATTGATCACAGCAAATCGGTTCTGGTGGTGATGACTGTACTTTATCTATCGATGTGCCGCACTGTGCCAATGCTTAATCTGTCATGGTACATGCAAGTTCGTAAACTCTTATGGCAGGTGTGGATATGATCAGAATGCCATAAGCCCATAGCTTGCGCTTGAAGACTGGTTCAAGACTGGTTCACTTTCGACGACATGCACTCAGCAGCGAAGCGCGTCGCAAAGCACCCAACAGGTCAAGCCGAAGGCACAGTGCAATGCCTCTTGCCGTTGGAGGGAAAGTATTGTTCAGGCTTCCCAGGACCTGCGGGTGGACTGACAAGATCGTGCCGCAACTTGCTGATGCAGAACGAGATGGCCGCCCTTGGCCTCCAGCGCTCCCAGGAGTTGGCTGCAGAATTCCAGGATTTGCTGTGGCACAAGCCAAGAAGGACACCGCAGAACCCAGAGTCGCCAGCAAACCCAAGAATGAATGGAGCCTTGGCTGATCTCGGATGCATGGTGCAGCCGTGAAAATGAAGTCAATGAGTCAACCCAAGAACGTTAGAGTCGACCAAAGGTGGATATCCAAAGAGATTCACCGCGACCAGATGCTGCATGTTGCTTCCTTCGTGACCAGCCTTCGAAATGACTCAACAACTGGGATGCCGGCCAACTGCCCCGGCCCGAGTTGTACCTCAATCTTGGCTCGGGGAGGGGGGAAGTTGATCAACTAGTAATTTGTGGCGACCCTCTTGATCAACGCTCTCTTGGCTCAGTATGAATGCATCTCTTGGCTCTCTTCAGGTGTCTCTTCTGTCGTATCTTGAAAGAAGCCAAAGTGCGACATGAAGGAGAAACCAATTGCCAAAATTACCTCATGGCAGGACAAAGGCACAAAGCTCAAACATTTCGCGAACTAACCAAACCCTTCAACTAGTAACAAGGACGCTACTAGTAGCAAAGGGCATCGCTACTAGGGGCAAGAAGCTACTAGTAGCTCCTGGCAGTACTGGAAACCATCGCTACTAGCAACAAGAAGCTACTAGGAACAAACGCTCTTCACCAACGCTCTTTACCAAATCACACGGCCCGAGCAAAGCAGGACTCAATGGAGGCTACCTTCGTCTCACGGTCACAGCAAGCTACAATCTCATCACGAAGCCAAGTCACAGATAGCATTACAAAAGAACAGCACCAGTGCGGTCCAACATACACAGTTCCGCCAAAGCAGCGCAGAATGCGAATGCGGCCAATCTTTGCCTGAAATGACAGGTGGAGAAGGCACGGTATAGCATTATAATCCATTATAGCATTCTCTTGCATGGATACACGCGTATGGGCCCTACGGAGTCCTACAGGTCTATGTTCAATATGAATCCATATGATCATGTATGAATGTATGTTACACTACATGTACATTGCACACACACAAATGTATCAAATCCATATGGATACCGTATCATACATACATGATCTACCATTCTGTAGTCAATGAAATCACCGGATAAAAGTTTACCCTCAGGTCAACAAGCTGTTTGGTCCGGTGCTCAGTATGGCTTCCCAAGGTCATTTCAAAAATTGTTCAAAGCTCAATTGAACCTATTGATATTGTTTGTAGCTTATCATGGGGATGGCTCGACTTTTAGGGGTGAAAAGTGACCAAGGTAGATTGGGGGTGATTGGTCCGAGGAGAATCTGAACATTCCTAATGCATGCCTTGGGGTTCTTTGGTGTTTCCTATCAAAGTGTTTCTTCCTATGAAGACCTATGAATCTATGAAGGCAACAGCTGGGTCTCTGTGCATTTCTACTCAAAGCCCACTCTGAAACCTTGCTGATGCATGCTGATGCCGTGCGACTGGTGCATCCTCCGTAGCGGTCAATGGAACAACTTTAGCTTGACGAAGCAGCTCGGCCTCGACCCAGTCAGGTCGGAATTCACAGGTTTCACAGCTCACAAAATCTGTCTAAGTATGGTGGTCTCAAAGTAGATGACTCCTCAACAGGTGGTTTCTATTGCATGTAATTAGGATGGATCTAGGGCCTTCTGTTGGGTTGAGTCACTCTGAAACCACTGCGGCCATGTGTGCCATTCAGAACAGCTGACGCAAGGAGGGACACGACTCACCCAAAACGGATCGGCCACTCCTTTGGTGGCTCCGCGAAACGACACCGCCGGTGGCTCCACGTGCACGGGTGACGACGCAGTGTTGCGACGCTGCCAGGTGCCATTAGAGCGACGTGTGTTGCGCTGGTGCACCGAAAGGTGCTGAAACTGGTTGAATCAAAAAGTATACGCTTACAGGAAGCATCTGCATCTGCAAATGTAAGCTGCTGGCCTCTGACTGCGCTGGCAATGCACAGGTGGCCCCCATCCGCTTTTTGAAACATGCGCAAACGAATCAATCGTGTTCATTAACATCACTAATGGCCAATCGAATGGATCCAAAGGGTGCACATGCCCATTCAATCTCATCCAAACATCTGAGTGCTCTGGATATTGCGTATTGCCTCCGCTTCCTCCTCATCGGGCTGACCACCTCAAAAACAACGAGTGTTGAGAACCGCTTCTGCCTGGGCCTAGAAACTTGTAAACCGCGTTAACCAAAGGGGATCAGGATTGGGACAGCTGCCAATTTGTTTAAACAATTTTGCTACTTGCCACAGTAATATCGGTTATACTTAGATTTTATTATATAGATTCTATCACATCATCCGTGCCTAAGGCACAAAATGGCACAAGTACAAAGTGCTAGGCCCAGACCTCCCTTTGGGTCGCCCTCCTCTGGTGTGACAATGCCCAGCATGGCGGGATGTGTGTTCACAGGCATTGGAAGAAGTGCACTCGTCTGGTTCTGTTGAGCGTACCGCCCAAACCTCTTGACTTAATCTATCAGCTGCTTAGAAGAAAACTATACAACTATACACATATATATATATATAACGACAAAGCCAAAGCGACTTTTTCTAGCAACCTCCGATTGTCCGAAGTGAATTGAGGCTGATTGGTGCTCTTCGTGTCAAGGCTGTACTGTATACATATATCATATATCTATATAGGGTCTGGCACGGCCGCAATCAATGCAGCGAGCCCACATGCTGCGGGCAAAGTTTCCAAAGCTTCACAGTAACCTGATGTAACAGTGTAAAGAAAGATGTGTAAAAAGGTCCATTCACACAATGGAAAACCATTCCTTTAATTTATATATGAGCAAGCTCACCTGACCCTGATTGCAAACTCTTGCTGAGGATGCAGCACTTTGCAGCCTGCAATCTGCATGTCAGCCACCTACAGTAATTTTCAATGCCAGATCTATCGAATGTGACTTTGTCACCAGACTGCCAAGCCAACAAATTCATGACTGCCCAGTGAAGTGAAGCACAAACTGGCCGTCCATCCACGGCCACCCCAGTGTTCGTCCGCTGCTGAAAGGAACTAAGGTTGGAGCTTTTTGATGCCGGCACATAAGCTCTTTGGCCAAAAGGCAAGAAGCTGTCACGGCTGTCACGTAATCTCGAAAGCCACGGCACATGTATTATGATTAGGAAACACGGATGTTATAGCCTTTATGGTGGGAGAACATCATTTGTGACCTCCAATGGGCCATGTTCCCACCCCAACTGTTCTTCTCAGTACTGTTAAGACCTGGGCCTCGTTTATCGCTTTCTTGTTCAGAGGGAACAGTGTTTGCAGCGTTTCCTCCCGCAAATGGTTCACGCCGGGAGCAAACAAAAATAAGATGATGCCAGCCAAAATCATGACAAAGGTGAAGAACACACAGTCGATGAAGTATGATGAGTTTATTGCACACATTCCCGAAACAAAAAATATAGGAAGTGGATGGAAGTGGAATACAGGCCGCTGGAAGACCATTTTCGGCAACAAGGCGGGTCTGCTCAGCGGGTAACGTGTAAATATATACATTCCAAGTTCAATGTCCGACAGGTTATGTGGATTTGAGCACAATAGCAAGGCATGTGTCTGGATTCCTCCGGGCAAGGAACAAGAAGGTGTTCATTCACATTCTGTTATCTTCCTTTATCAGTTGTGTGGGAGTAGCAACTAAATAGTAATTTATGTGTGCACCATTGTGCACCCTATTTTGTGGCTCTCTGGAGAAAGGAACCTGCTGCGCAAACAGCCTAATTGACATTATTGAAAAAGTACTTCTTGAAGAAAAGCCCACGCGGCTCACGAACCAGTATGGTGCTTCACCTCTGCATGTTTACACGTACCCTGTCTTAGTATCCAGTAGGTATGTCCGCACCAGTTGATGCTGCAACAAAGTGAAATCAATTGAACCGTAACCATATCCTAAATTGACACCATATCCTAACACAAACCGCCACCCTTTCTTGTTGAGGTCACAAAATGACGAGATCCAGCCTGTGGCTCCGCAGTCAGTGCTTGCAGGTGCCAGTCCCGCTAGAACCCCGCAGAAGCGCTCTGCGAGGGCTACCTTTGGCTACCCAGTGCACCCAAATGGCCAAGGATCACAAGTCCTCCCCGGTCAAGAAGTTTTATATAACATGTTCTAACTACAATGCTAAAGGCCTGCTAAAGGTACATGAAAGCACCAATGGCCATGCCAGATCGCACAAAACTGAGGTCAGAATTTGTTCGCCGTGCTTTCCACAAGAGTCTTTGGGGCAGAATGGGAGGACATAATACATTGAAAAAGTAAGCTACTGGTAGGACCTAAGCCACAACCAATCCAAGAATCTCTTGGTGCCCACTGAGGCCTTGGCCGAAGCCTCCGACTCGAAAGCGGAGCTCCCAAAATCAACAGATCTCAGTGATCTCCATCGGTCAACGTGTGATCTCTGCATTGGACCGACTTCATGAGCTCTGACTCAGACAGTTCAATCATCGAGCCACTTAACTTCTGAGTTGCTCCGCTTTATCTCCCTGATCACACTGGGGGCCCCTTGCTCTTCTGGAACTTGGAGCTCCTGAGGTCGAATGATCTCTGGAATCAACGTGGAGTGTCCATTCTCGGAGTCGTTCTCCACTACTTGCAGCTGGGACCCCAGGCCAGCATGACGCTGGGCTCCGGCTGATATTTCAGCAAGTGTTCCTTCGTGAAATATGACAAGAGGAACCGCAGATCTACCATTATGGCCCATGGCTCCAACTGAAATCATCCAGCATACGTTCCTCTATTCCAGCTTCCATCTCTCAGATCCGCACGATGACGGGCTCTATTAAGACTGCTGTAGTGAAGGTCTCCGCTTTAAACCTGCTATTGGCTGTTGGAAAGGAGGAACCTCCTCTCTCTGAGGCTGAAGTGATTCCGAGCTTCCGTAGGATCAAGCCCAGCACTCACTTCGGTATTGCTTGTCTTGTTAGTCTTTGCACACGGGGAGCCACATCTCCTGTTCACCTCATATTTGTAATATTAAAACTCTGTAAAACTTATCTAAACTTATGACTCATTGTTTGTGGATGCATAAGCATCGCCAAAGTGAGGCAACCCAAATCAACGGGAACAAGGTCATCCCGCGATCACTCCCATCGTTCTGCTCAGCCCTGCACGTGTGCAAAGGTCCGACGCCTCCTGAACTTGAAGCTGATTGATCGCAGGGTCAAGTCATGAAAAACACTGAAAAAACGCTCCTAAGAAATGATGACAGTCCATATCTGGAACCATCTATGAAACCCCAGCTCAATACACAGCCTTTCTCAGGCCCTAGCCGTTGGACTTGGGCCGCGTGCGCGCGACGAGGGCATCCTTTGTCCCATACGCCTGGCAAGGGGGAAAGGGATTGAAGGGAAGGTGCGCTCCAATCAAGAGACGGAACGGTCGGAAGGCACGGTCGGTTGGTAGGCGAATGACCACAAGAATCCAATGCCCAAGAGTCAGGCTCGGAAGGCATGTGTTCCACCTTGACTATCGCTCGGAAGGCTGCACCTCGCGGTACGCCGCTACCAACTGCACGTTCCGACCAATACCAGCAAGCCCCACAGCCTTAGAGGCTCTGAAGTGACCATTTCCATGCCCAAACTCAAAATGGAAATGCCACGACCTTCCTGCCACACCCGTCTCCTGGTCGTTCCTGTCACCTGCAAACCTGCGCCTTTCCAAACAGGCCGAAGGATAACGAAGACATGACCGAGCGACCGTCGTCTGACTGTTTAAAGCAGCGAGAAGACCACAAAATGCAAGGCAAAACAAAAGGGGCCCTTTCTTGAACTGCAGCGTGGCCGTTGAGTTCCCAACTGCCAAGGCACATGCTGTGCCTCTGTTCTTGCAACTTCACTTGCTGATTCGTGAAAGACTTTGCACATACACTGGCACTTGTCCTAGACTGATTCTGGCTAATTGCCTCAATGATGTGCAACCACTACTGCGAGTACTTTCAGATATCAGCTTGATCACGACATCAGATCTGCAAATGTTAAAACAAAACACGCCACGGCCTGGCCATCGACGCAAAGCGTTTTGAAGCTCAACAAAAGAGCCCATCTCGGGAAGGTGTGGCACTGTTGGCTCGTCAGGTCAACACATCTCTGGGAAAAAAAACTAATACAATGCATGATGTTTCGCGAAGCAAAGAAACTAGCAGTAGTTATAAACTATAAATATGTTTTTTTGAATTCTTTGCTTCCGGGTAATTTTGTTGCTCTCTCTCTCTCTCTTTCTCCCTTCTCAGCCTAAGATATAACGACTCTGGGACATGTGTGAACCCACAGCGGTACCGGTCGGCATGCCGACCAGGAGCATCTGTGGGCCCCCAGGCTGGGAATCTGGGAGCATCATGAAAGCCTTTGATGAATGGAACCCGCAAACCGTCCATTGAACCTGCTAGTAACAGAACCTGATGCCTGACCGAAAACCCGGTGGTCCAATTGACCGTCAATAAGGAGGACATGCTTGCTGTTGGTATTTGCATTTCTTTCTTTCTTGAATCTTGGGCATCCAACATCAAACATTGAACTTCTCTGCCCAACTGGTGTTCAAGCATTCCGAAGGATGCAAACAAGGCTTTCGCAGCACGGGTGGGCCCCTTCCAACACTCCAACACACAACTCTGGAGACCTTGGAAACCCGACACTTGTGACGTCCAGCCGCAGTTGAAGGAGACGCTCATTGCTAGCATCCTCTCTGCTTCTCGCAACTTCGTGCTTCTTGCACACGTTTTGTCTAGGTCCAACACTTCCAAACTCCTAAGTCAGCCAGAAAACCGTTCTACTCCATCCTCCCTCCTCTTCTTGCTACTACCTAAACTGGAAGGGCACGGCTCCTTCACTTTCAAGGCTGGCTCCACATTCATGGCATGCGCCAGCTTGCGGGGCTGAAGTTCCGAGCCTGGACCGCAGCGAGCCTGCGATGCGCGCGGCGCGCGGTCTGGAATCCGAAGAAGTCGGTCTGGGGTGTTTGACGGTCGGCAGAATCGGTTTTTGCCAGGATCTGAGCGTACCCAGGCCCCACATACTTTGCAAATGAGCCAGCATATCACTCCGATTCACTCCGAATGTTGGGAGTTGCGACGGTGGCAGGTGATGCCTTACCAATCCGGACAAAATGCATTCTCAGTAACAGTAGCTAAGTTTCCCTAAAAATCTAGGCACCAAATGAATAGTGCGAGCGCTTCTTCAAGGAAGCGGCAGCTGATCCCCCCTGCCCTCAGGCGGCGGGAGCTTCCTTGAAGAAGCGTGAGCTATCCTGCGCCCAGTAGCTAGGAGCGTCCAGTAGCTTACTTAATGAAGTAGGCGCCTACTTAATTAAGGAGGTGGGTCCACCGGCCAAAAATTAAAGAGAGCTGCTCTTTTGGATCGCGCTTCTAAGCGCCAAACTGGGGATCACCAAGCCAATTGTTTGGCTAACTTCGGTGCTGACGCCCAAAGCAAGCAGCTGCGGTTGCCAACATCCTTGCGAGATCCACATGTCCTTGCTCGCAGTAATTCAGCCAAGTATGAACCAAGGTATGCAAATGTGTGCAGTATACTGTACACTGTACACAGGATTGCTTCGCCAACACCATACGTTCGCGTTCGGATGTTGGCGCTTGGAGCCGCAGACTCCGCTGATTCGGCCATATTGGGCCACTGGGAGCTCTTGTACTGTTTGGAAAACTGCCATGACAGGAGCTCACCAGGCATACCAATACCATCCCCCTTTTCCCACGCTCCGAGAAACACTGCGGTCGAGCTGAGCCGAAGTCCAGTTTCGGGAATGGACATGGACTCATGACCGGCCTCACGTGGCAGACTCACACGCAACCAAATCGAAAAGAAACTTGGGAGACCCAAGTGGGGGGGTTGTTTGAAAAGACCTCATGGCAGCTAGAGTCTCTCCTAGCACACGTGAGGGACTCCCTGACATCCCGCTTTGAGTCGCTGCGCGTCCGAAACGCGACAAGCAGCGTAGCATGGGGCGGAGCTTTGGTCACTGCCGACGCTCACGCGTACGGACCCAGAAGTCGTGGTCCGATGGCCAAAGAGGGTGCCTAGTTGACCCTAGGGGTCGTAGGTCAATGGAAAATTATGGTGGGGCCGTTACACCAAAAGCACCCGCATCCGGAAAGACCAACTCAAATAAGCAGCAACAGCTGGGAAAATCAGCAACGTGACACGATGTGCTCAGTATACAGCTAATTTCATGCTGCTGCCAGTTCTTTGCTCAAACTCGGTTTTCCGATACATGCAGGCCAAGGACAGGACATGTCAGGTATTGTCTGATTGCTCGTAGGCACCCCCTCCAGAGCCCATGATGCCAACTTGGATTTGGCCATCCGCGCTGGAAAGCCATGCAAGATTCGTGGCAGGAAGCCAAGCGAGCTTAGTCGGCTAGTCTAAGGAGGTACAAAAAGTTGGAAGCAGTGCACCAAGTATCCGAGGTGGAATCCTACTCAACAGTATGATATCAGTATGGCCCCTTCCATCCCTTTCCCCCTCGTTCATCCTAAACAAATAAGGGGGGCAAAACACACAGCATAGGTTTTGTAAGATCCTCATATGGGTCTTGATGCTCGCGAGGAGTGAGTGCTGCTTACAAGGTCAATCCAAAGGAGTACTGCTGGCATGGGCAGTGAAGTGATGAAGACACCGGCTCCAAGCACTATCTGCTCCTACTAACATGCCAAAACATGAAATGTGTCCAGCGATGCTAGCAGCCCCGGCAGTGAGCTTGAAACTTTACAGAGATGATTTGGCAGCCAAGTTTCTTGGCCACTGGGATTTGTCTCCTTCCAGGCTTGTCTGCCTTTCTCTATTCACCAACCTCAAGTTCCCTTCTGCCAAGCACAAATCCAGCATTAGTGACAAGTACGAACAACACTGAATTTGCGTGTGGTGGCATCGTCATAGCCCTGTATCAAACAGCTTTCTCTGAAATGCTCTTTGTTAGGTTCTTCAAATCATCTTTGCTGAAAGGATCCCGAAAACAAAAATCCACCACGCTCTCAGGCACCATTGCATCTTTGCAACATTGCAGCGAGTGCATGGTGTAGAGGCAGCTCAGCAAGCACAAATATCAAAGTTCAAACAAACATGTCACCTGTATATTACATGCGCATATGGCATAAGCCAATAATGTTTGTATAAATGTACTGTATAAAGATTATAATGTAATATTTGTGTGTCATCACTTGTGACCTTGGAGTCACAGGTTTGCGAATGCAATCTTTTTGAACTGTTTACTTTGCAAGGACTGGTGGCACTCTCATCCTACTACACACTAAGGCTCACTAAGGATGAGAGTGAGAAGCGAGGTCTGATCAACCTGGTGAATCTATGGTTTTGGAACGTGTTCAACAGTTTTGCAGCCCTTTGGTTCTTTCACAAAGCTGTTCTCCTCTGACTCAGGTTGACAAATGCACAGTTTACCACGTCTGGATTGGAACCAAATACCTTTGGCCTTTGGCGCTTCCCTTGTTGATGGAACCTCATTTTGTCTAACCTGCTCCAGCATTACTTGCTCTTGACCACTTGGCTACGTAGACTGCCCGGTCAAATCCCAGTTTTTCAGAATCCTTCTTCGTGGTGTGTGTTCCAATGGCAAGAACTAACTAACCAATGGGGTGAGGGTGAGTGTCTACATGGGTCTACCTGCCATACCACTGCTGTTCCTTACACAGGATTCAACTTCAACAGCAAGCTTCTTGTGCTCGGATCAAAAGTGCCCCAATTTATAGATTTTAATGCCCCTCAGAAGCTCTCTGACAGCGGCGCCACAAAGAGGTTTGCTCTTGTTGTGCCTCTGCTTGCCAAATAGAGACGTTCTGCAATCGAACATGACATGAAAAGCCTAAACCGAAGAGCCTTCGCATTCCACATCTGCACTGCACCTCTCATCGCAAAAGATGGCGACAATTAAATGTCAAGGTGCAAAGCCGATCAAGTGGTGGATAACGCTAGGCCAGCGCAAACTAGGAGCAAAGATACGCACTTCACAGGCACCTGCCAAGGACGTGATTGCAAACTGAAAGCCAGTTCCAAAACGATCCGTGACATCGAAGCAAAATGGATCAAAATGGCACGATCCGTGTTGGTGCCAAAGGACTCAGTCAGCTGAAAATGAACGGTGGCAAAGTGACGGCATCTCTTCCCTTTCTTGGCATCTCTTCCATCTGATTCCCAACGGGTCTACAGACAGCATCCCAAAGAAGCTATGACAATCTACGACAGCTCTGCAGCAAAGCTTCATCCAACAAGACGTCTCGTCCGGCGCCCTTACTCCCGTCCTGCTCCACTCCAGGTCCAAGTCCAAGTAGCCGATGGGAGATGACAGCCTCAGGAGGACATCCAAAGACCAATCATGGTTCATCCCGTGTTTTTTGAGATGGAGATGTACTTACAGCCACCGTGTCACCATCACAGTCCTGGTTCGTGTAATTAGAACTCCAAACTTGTCGCAACTTGCAACCATTATCAACTAAGGCAAGTGGCAAACATCAAGTTGAAGAGCTGTTGCAATCCGCCTGAAGGATGTTTCCGTTGGCTGCGGTGTCGAAGGATGGCACGCAAAGGCATACAGCCGTTTAGACTAGTATGGCAAGGGTCCATATATTGCACTGAACGGCTCAATATGCTCAATGATGCGCAATGTGCCCGGACACCAAAACCAAGCATACAAGAAAGCAAGTCTCAAATTGTCTCCGATCATGTCCAATCCACCAGTCAGTGCCCTTGGGTTTGGCTTCTGCACATCCAGCCTTCGACGGCATTGACGACTGATGGCTCGTAAAAGCCGGAATATGAAAAGGTCACCAAGCAAACTCCTGTCCTCAGCTCGACCGGGATCCTGCCACCTTTGGCAACCAACAACTGCTTCATTCATCTTCATTCAGGATCCCCACTGCTGTGCCAACAACTTGGTGCCCCCTCCTTGTAACACACACTTGATACGATACAGTAGCATGTTAAGTTGCTACCCAGCATCATTGACAGGCATTCGCCCAGAAAAGCTGTCGCAAAAAAGCGGCGTTTCACCTGCTCGGGTGATCATGAACATGCAAACACTGTTCGGGAGCCACATGCTGTGAGCTGCTACAAATTCTTCCAATGTTGCCAAACATTGCCCCTGCCTATCAACCCTCGTGTGAACCCATGCAAACACCACCATTTAACCACGAGTGCCTTCCGCAAAGCCCACAGGTGCCGGCGCAAAGATGGAATGGCCAAGAACAGCAAGGCACAGGTCCTTGGAGGACCAAAAAATCGAAACAGGTCCTGGCGGGTTTTGAAGGAAAAACACAATTCTTCTTGTTACATCTTGTTACTAGTTGTAATGCCAGGAGCTACGTTCGTAGCTTCTTGCTCCTAGTAGCGATGCCCTTGTTACCGACTAGTAGCTTCTTCTTTCTAGTGAAAAAAGACTGGCGGCTTTTCAACAGAGAGAGGCGGAGAGGATGAGGCCTGATTGGGACCCTCTTTCACTGCAGTCTACGTGCTGTTCAGGATGCAGGATCCACGGGCACCCCCGTGGAAAACGAACATGGAAGCCTTACGTGTCCAGGTCCCATTCTCAGGGTCGTTAGTTTTCCACAGGGTGTATGTACAATTTCAGGATGTTCTCTGTCTTGGCTGCGGCTAAGGTCTGCTCAATCCATTTGCAACCCGACTGGCTAGGAAGAACTGGAGCGGATGCGTAGCCAGCTCAGGATCACTGCCTGGGTTTGAAGAGGGGCTTTTGCAGTGTGTGGCCATGTCCCTTTGCCACATGGAACAGTTGGAGCATCCGAGAGTGAACCAACCCCGCTGAGGCAGAAGCTTTCAGCGAAAGTCGCCTGATGCAAAATGACGTTGTAGCAGCAAATGAGAAACTCGCCCAAGACCACAAATCCTGAGGCTGGATTTCATTATAACCTTTAAGGCTGGATGAGGGGGATGGGCAGGGCGGCAGTTCTTAAATGGGTCATCTTGGTCAGATCAACAGTGGCCCTCTTACTGGCCCTCTTCATCACCTCAAAGATCTCAAAGGCAGTCCTGCTCACAGTCAATATCAGCCTGATTCATTTGGCTTCCAAGCCCGGAATTCTCTGTTGCCGAGCTTCTTACAGCTTTTTGTTGCCAGAACTTCCCGGTTGCAACAGAAGAGATGCAGCCATCAGCTGCAGGCAAAAAGCCTCCAACACAAATCAGCAGCACCTGCAGGTCGTCCAAGTGAGTGGACCAGTTGCTCACCGTTTTTGCCCGTTGCGAGCGAATTGGTCATGTCGGTCCCGTGGAACCGTCCCCAGTTGGACCACATTGGACCACGCCGTCCGTTCCCCGGCTGGTTTTGCCCTTGCTCGAAGAAAAACATTAACTATATAGATCGATGCCTTGCTCTTTCGAGTTGGTGGGAGAGGAAAAACACAGAAAATCCGAAAGTTCCATTGTTTTTGCTGATGATTGCCCGGTTTTCCTCACAATGCAGCCCCTCAACCTAGCGACAGTTCATTCTGTCAAGTCCGGATTGCAGGACGTCTCAGGTGAATATGCTATGATCTCACCGTGGGAATCACATGGCCACTATCAAGAAAAGGCATTCAGGGATTGCGTTCATGGGCCAATGGCAGCTCTGGCACTGCCACGAGGTGGAGCGGGCGTATCACTGGTGCAAAGCCCAGTGAGGCGGCTGAAGTGGAGAAAGGAAGCATCCAAAGTGCTGATAGCTGCATCAAGGGAGTGATCACCTTGGCATGTGCTGGGTCAAATGACAAGTTGAAGAGCTCCATCTTACCATTCTCCTTCCTGGACAAGCATCCATGCTTAGTAGGATGAAAGTGGTTGCCGGGTTGTTTAGCTGAGCTCAGAGTCCACTAAGGGAAATCGTGGTATCAGGAACACATGCAGCACACAATGACAAATTCTGACATCCCCTGTGCCAAATCTCAAGAAAGGCCAGCACGTACACTGGGACATTTCATAGCAATCAAATTCAATGTATAAATCAGATGTTGGCTGGGGCGTTGACCGTGCTCGAGGCAGACGTAAAGGCACACAATGTACAAAGATACCTGGTCTGCGGCAGCGGCAATTGCAAAGTTCACTGCCTACAAAAACGACTTGCCCGGTGGCATTGACATACCTGTTTTGTTGTTCAAGATTCAAGCCCTTTCGATCTTGTTGCATTCCCTTAAGGGCATTGCACCTGGAGATTGGCGAAAATGCCGCCAAGTGACGCTGTGAAGTGGAAAAAGCCGCCTGCCCCAGCCAGCGCCAATCGTGTGGAACTGAGAGATGCGTATGGCACCTGACAGTCATGGGCAACAGAACGCCAACGGAATCCACAGAAATCAGCTAGGAGCAAGGACGCTACTAGTAACTAGTAGCAAAGGGCATCACTATTAGGAGCAAGAAGCTACTAGTATCTCCTGGCCGTACTACTGGTTACTAGGAGCAAGGACGCTACTAGGGGCTCCTGGCATCGCTATTGGGAGAAAGAAGCTACTAGTATCTCCTGGCCCCGCTACTAGTAACAAAGGGCATCGCGACTAGTCCTAGCTCCCAGGGCCGCCCCTGGGGCTGCAGCAGTACGCAAATTGCAGGCTGCAGCGGTCATCAATGCGACAAATCCGCTCATCAGGGCATTCTGCTCCGGCGTCAAGCGGTCAACAGAATCCTGCGAAAAAGGCGCCAGCGGCCGCCAGCGTTACACAGTGAAGTAACACCAGGAGAAGCAACAAACTCAATTTCACACGGCAACCAGCGACCAAAACGGGAGTGATCCTCGTCTGCTTGACCATCTAATGACCAATCTATCGCAGGTACCTCAGGTGTGATTGGCCAAACCACTTCTTTGAGAGGAGTTTGCAGGTGAAGGTGGGCGACGGAACTCCATCCTTACCTTGGTTATTATCAGTAAGTCCAGCACTAAAGGGAAAATGCACCACCCATCACATGCCAACAAAAGAGCAATCGCAGGCTTCCTCTGAAGGGAAACACATGTTTTGCAAGGCTGCAAGACCGCCCGCCGGGCATTTCGAATTGGCGGCAAACCCCATCCGACTTCCTGTCTCCCAAGAGGCGAAAAGAAACGCTCCGTGATTTCGTATGTCTACTGAGTATACTGACATCGTACGCCTACCCAGCACATCGATACATGATTCGTGCGGCTCATTGGTGAGGCTATCCGGAAAAGCTGACTGAGCGCTGCGCCTCAGGAAGCAGCTGAGTACCTTGGCTGAGGGTGCGAGGCCTCACTGTGCACAGCTATCGAGCAACCATACTTAGGTGCTTAGCTTAACCTTTGCTCATCCAAAGTGGCAGCATGTTGCACATTCAATTGTGCCACTAGCAGTCGAAAGTATGCGATGGTGCCGTGGCAAAGCAGCAATTCTACATACTTGGGGCCGGCGCCACACACCAGCTGTGGCAACTCAAATTTGGTCGGGCTAGGCGCCCTCCCTGCAGGTCCAGCTTTTTTACACGCAAGCCAAGCCAGCTAAAGCCAAACCAAACCAACCCCTAAACAAGTAAGCCACGCCTGCCAAACCAAACCAGAAGTCCAAAATAAACACCTTTGTTGAACAAACATGAGCAAACAAACCCATCAAACGCAGTGTTCAACAGTGATCGTGTCCGGTGTTCTAAGGATTCTGTAGGTCTGGACTCTACCCGGCAGCCATCCTTCCGATTGCCCAAGTGCACGGTCGCAGCCTTGGGGAATTCACCCTCCTCAACGGTTTGGCAGCCTGCTCTACCAGATTGCCTCACCAAGAACACACAGCTGGGCAGCAAGCATTTTTGATATTTTTGCATGAACCATGAATCAGGCGCAATCCGCGCAAACGCAATTCAAACAATTCAATACGCCATCTCCAGTCAACCCAAAAACTGCCGCCATGGACAGATTCCGTTTTAAGCTGCATCCATCAACGGTTCACTTTGCTCAATTCTGGGCTCCCACGCTGAGCGGTTTTGGCCGTCTCCTTCGCAGGGTGCCTTTGGGCTCAGAATCCGTGGGCGGCGATGGTGGCTCAACATCCTCTACCTGGGCCAAGACTTTGAGGAGTATGACAGGTCGAAATACCATTAAAGTGTGCTTATATAGTTCAAGCATCGGCCCGTCGGCCAGCTAAAAAGAATGGCGATTCAAAATAAATCAATCTCTATGGGATTCTTCGTGCAACCGTTTTCTATTTATTGATCATTCGGACATGCTTCCCGGTGTATACTGACTGGACTGAACATGAAAGCACTTGAAGTCTCTTCTTTTCAGCTTGGGTGCAGCAGCCGGAGGACGGATACAGGCATCCTTGCAAGCTGGACAAGCATCTTATTTGTTATTTCCTCCTTTGTGGCTCGTACATATCCAATGACCAGTCGGACTTGGCTACACTGGTTCACAGCATCGTGATATTATTATGTATTATTGCACTGTCGGTGTAATTTAAGGTGAAGTGCTTCAATCTCATGATCCGCTTCCGAATCCATAAACTTACTGGAATTCATCCTTCCTCAAACCCAATCGATGACGGTTGGCTGTTGGCGCCAAGCCACGCAAATGACATCACTGACAGCCCAGCAGCATGTCGCCTGGGTTGACCATCGATCAGAACAAAACCAGGAGATCGCTGAGGTCCCAGCCCCTCAGTGTAGCAGGTCACTAGAGGAACCAAGCGGCGGCCACGGTTTGCCAAAGCCATGCCAAAGATCGAGGTGAGTCCTGGCGAAGGGTGGGGACAGGAAACCCGTCCGTGCCGTGCCTCGGAGCACGGAGCTATGAGTGATTCTGGGATGAGAGGATCGATGCGACTTGATCTACATGTGATCCGGAGGTGCCAAGTCGTGAAACTGGTGCGTCAACTTCCCACCTTGGTTCGTATGCGACTTGAGGCTACTTGAGGCTACAACCCACAGGGTGTAAAATACGATGGTTTGAGGCAAAGGTTGGTTGAACGGTTCGTCTGAACGAGACGCCAGGAAACTGAGATCCCCCGCCATATCACCCTCAATAAGCACATCCAAAGCCAAGGCAGTGCTGTTGAGTTCAAGGCCTCACGGAATTCACCAGCCTTGCTTGCAACCGAAGGACCTACCGCAATCTATCTGATAGAGCCTGATATATGACATGTATATAATATATTATATATAATATATATAATATAAATACAGTATATATAACAATAATGTATACAATGTACGAGTACGGAATAATTCTAGCACATGTTCCGAGATTTGCTCAGTTTATGATAGTGAATTCATGACTGCTCCTCTCCAATCAAACGAGTGTCACATCCTCAGTGAATGAGGCCTTGTACGAGGGACAACAGGGGTGCAACTTCACTTCAGCAAACCTGCTGCAAACAAGCAAAACTGCCTGCCATGCTGGCAGCTGAAGTGTCCAGCATGGAATGGGCGCGCAAAATCGTTTCCGATGTGACTTGGATTTGCTAGCTGATTGCATGTAATGCGATTTGTCTGGCCGAGGGTGAGAGTTGGTGCCCTGCCTATTAGTGGGGGCAATTGTCAGCAAGATTCCAACTCTAAGTCTAGGAGCAATGGCTGACAAAGAAAGGTTGACAGCTCTACTTGGGCATTTATCGGCTCTTCAACTTGTAGAATAGATCTGGTGGGATTTGCAATTATACTTACTGCAAGACCCTCAGAGTGGATTACACCATGTTCGAATGCACCAGGCTGCTTCTCCTGTCTTCCGCAATCTACCGCGCCCAGCTTTCGAGCCCGTCGCAGGTCCGTCCGTGATCACTCGTCATGGCATCTACTGTCAAACAATGGCACCGTCATGGGATGCCAAGCCACCAATCTTCAAGCAATTTCGGAACCAACAAATGCCGTACAGATTAAACGATGCGAACACATTCGATCCGCAAAGGCGGATATAAGTTAAAGCATCCAGTCTACCACTTATCAGGGCGATCATGGCCTTCGCTTTGTTGACAAAATCGAACTCATCCAGCTGCACTCCATACTTCAAAGCCAGCATGTCCTGTGTGAGGGCAAATGGCCATGCTGGCAAGCAAGCATAAGAAAGTAAGTTGAGACACGTACCAAACCAATTCAACTCCCAATCAATGGACATGAAGTGCCCACTTTCTGCAGGACAAAAAAAATTACCTTGTCAGAACATTGCCCACAGTAAATGTATCATGTCAACGCCGTCCATTTTGCATCGACTGGACCACCATTGGTGATGACATGGCCAAAGTCTGACAAACGACCGTAGTCCCGCTCAGGGTTAAACTGGTGCTCAACGTCACAAATAATTGACAAGTCGATCCGAACATAGAGTGGTAAAGGCAATGTGCACACACACACACACTCATGGATATGCGTACTGATGTGATAGCGGTGCCACACGCCGGCCTAGGGTTCCATTTCCTAAGGGTACAGGTAAGGAAACCTAAAGAAGGAAGAGGAGGTCCATCCAGCGGAGGTCCCAAAGGTTTCAGGTGGCCAGCAACTCCAAAAGAAAATACCGATCGAGCGGACGACAAGGTGACGACGTTCGTGCAGAAGATCAAGCTCACAATCTGAGGTGAATCACCGCTGCATTAGACGCTTACTGCACAACAAAGAATGAGACAGCTTGGCATTTACGTAGGTTCAATTCAAAGCAGGTACGTCGATTTGGCGTCCCAAATCGATATCACCAGCACACATCCAGTGTCTTCGTTGGTGCAAGACTGGATGGGCTGCTTGCACCCCCTGCGATAATACAAAATAAAATAAATCCGGAAGGATCCCTATGACTCCAAGGGTTACACACACACACGCCTCCCCGAAGGGAGGCAAGATCCGCGCCAAATGTGGAGTGAGACTAAGAAATTAACGGATCTCTGTGATTCCAATGGTTACACACACACACGCCTCCCCAAGGGGAGGCACCTCTGCGCCTAGTAGTAAGGCCAGGAACCCCTAGAAGCACCAAAGTAGCGTCCTAGTAAGAAGGCCAGGAGCCCCTAGTAAGAACCCACACTAAGGTCCTGACAGGAGGGAGGGGTAGGGAGAGAAGAAAAAAGAAAGAGAAAGAGAAGAAAGGAAAGGGGAGGAAGGTGTTCCCAGCTACGACACAAGCGTCCAGGGACACACCAAAGGAGGAGAGGAAAAGGGTTCCCAGCTATGACGAAAGCATCCAGGGACACCCAAGGAAGAGGGAAAAGAGAGGGAAGAGAGAAGGAAAGAAAGAGAGAGGGAGTGAGAGGGAGAGGAGAGAAAGGAAGGTGTTCCCAGCTACGAACGATCGTCCAGGGACACACCAAAGAAAGAGAGGGGAGATCCTGAGTATTCCATTCAGGAAAAACCCCAGAAAGTAAAGAAAGAAAGGGGAAGGGAAGGGGGAGGAGGGGGGGACTAAGCTCGCGACAGGTTCCAATGAACCTTGAACAAGCTTTGGTCGCTGCGACCACGTACGGCTTGCCCGAGGGCTGCCACCTCTGACCGCTGCGGTCACGTAAAGGCATAAGCCAGCTTAGAGTTCCAAAGATGGGACAAAAATCATCGTACGTACGGCCTAGGCCACCTGCTGTCCGCTGCGGACATCTGCGTTCCAAAGCCGGGGAACATGGACATACACCCGTTCAACGGGTCCACAGGAGGCACTCTGCGGGCTCATCCCGGGTTGGCACGAAGCCAAACACACTCATGGATATGCG